GTGATTTTGACACACAACACCTAACACTTGATGCAATCGGACCTCTTCCAAGTGGTTGGGAGCAAAGAAAAACTGCTTCTGGGAGAGTGTACTTTGTAGATCACAATAACCGGACAACACAGTTTACTGATCCCCGATTTAATTGTAATATTCTTCAAATKATACGGCGCGGCGCATTATCTAATACCGGAAATTGTCCCAGTGCAGTGAATAATTTGGTTTCTACGGGTAATGGGAGTATCGTACAGCAACTTTCTCCAGCAGCCTCGCATCCGTTGTCAAGTGGGAATAGCGGTTCAACAAGTGGTAATTCTGGTGCACCTCATCGCATAGCTAATAATACAAGTACACCGCCCGCAGACCTTCCGCAAGGTCTTTTAGAAGGTTCTGAACTGCTTCCCAAATATCGGCGGGATTTAGTTAGTAAAATGCGAGCTCTGCGCACCGACTTGCAGACACTGCAACCACAGTCCGGTCACTGTCGTCTCGAGGTGTCACGTAACGAAATATTTGAAGAGAGTTACAGACTGATTATGAAAATGCGACCTAAGGACATGCGTAAACGCTTAATGGTAAAATTCAAAGGAGAAGAAGGCCTTGATTACGGTGGAGTTGCGCGTGAGTGGCTTCATTTATTATCGCGTGAAATGCTTAATCCCCAATATGGATTGTTTCAATACTCACGTGATGATCACTATACGTTGCAAATTAATCCAGACTCGGGTAAGTAATGCCTTTCATTGACAATCTTTGAAATATTCAGATTGGTTATTGAAATTAATATAGCAAAGAATATTTATTTCTTATCTCTTTTGTGTGTTTTAGGTGTTAATCCAGACCACTTATCGTATTTTCACTTCGTTGGTCGCATTCTAGGAATAGCTGTATTTCACGGACACTGCTTAGATGGTGGCTTTACAACACCATTTTATAAGCAACTTCTTAATAAACCGATAACTTTAAATGATATAGAAGGTGTTGATCCAGAGTTGCATCGTAGTCTAACTTGGATGCTGTAAGTCACTCAAATACATAAAATTCTAAAATAACAATATATCCAATTATAGTGAGAATAATATAACGGGAATTATAGACTCCACATTTAGTGTTGAGAACAATAGTTTTGGCGCATTGGTAGTTCATGAATTAAAGCCGTTAGGTGCCTCAATATCAGTAACAGAGGATAATAAGCGCGAATATGTTAAACTTTATGTAAATTACAGATTTATGCGAGGTATTGAGCAACAATTTCTGGCGTTACAGAAAGGTAAATATATGTCTATAAACTATTCAAATGTGCGTACTTATGACATCTCCCATTTTATTTGGTAGGTTTTTGTGAACTTATTCCAGGTCAGCTTTTGAGACCTTTTGATGAGCGTGAATTAGAATTAGTAATTGGCGGAATTTCTAGCATTGATGTTAATGACTGGCGCGTCAATACAAGACTGAAACACTGTACACCAGAAACGCAACAAGTGATATGGTTCTGGCAGGTAATAGTAAATGATTTTATTTAATTAATTGCTAATTGCTTATATATACATATTCTTTTATCTATGAGGTGGTGGAATCTTACTCTTCAGAAATGCGTGCACGTCTTTTGCAATTTGTAACTGGTTCATCAAGGGTGCCATTGCAAGGTTTTCGAGCATTGCAAGGTTCAACTGGAGCGGTAGGCCCACGGTTATTTACTATACACCTAACTACAGATGTGCCCACTCAAAATTTGCCAAAGGCACATACTTGCTTCAATCGCATTGATTTACCGCCTTATGAAACTTACCAGTTGCTTTGCGATAAGTTGACGCAGGCKGTGGAAGAAACTTGTGGATTTGCTGTAGAATAGTTATTTAAGTGGAGTGATAGAAGTAATCTGGTGGTAGAATGCTACACATTTAAATACTTACCTAATAACCAGTGGATCTAAAAAACATGTATTTTTCCTATTTATTTGGATGGATTGAAAAAAAACATCACTGCTTCTCTTTTTTCAAATTGTTAATTATTAATTTTTTGAATACTTGTTGCCGATTGTCTTTATTCAGAAGAATCGCAAATAAATTATACAGATGTATAATATTAAATAACAATAAATACACACATATGTATACAAAGTTCTGTTCATATATGAATACATATAGTATCGTATCCGAGAATATCAGAACATATTTATAGAACTATAAGATATAATGAGAAAATTCTTTTGTTATAATGGTTTTAACACTTTAAGAAATCATGATTGTGATTGATCAGTTAATAAAAAATTGAAGATATCTGCACTCAAGAATTAGAAAATTGTTTTTTTTTTTTTAGCAGTGTTATATGTTTTGTTATACGTATGGATATAGAAATCCTAGTATTGATACTATTCTTCCTACTTTTACCATCTTACGAAATGGTTAAAAAAAAATCAAATTCCGTAAGGGTGGTTATGGAGTAGAATTTATTTACTASATATTATATTATTAATTATTTATACATTGCTACAATTTGGGGTTCCTTGATTTCTAAACAAATATGGATCACCTAAGATCAAATACCTTTTGAAAAATACGATTACATATATTGTTGCCAAGCGTCAAATTTTAGTTCATTATACTGTGTTCTAGAGAGTCTGGTGTGGTATTTGGGCAACCACAGTAGTTCTTTTCTATAAACTGTATGGTGCCATATTCACCACTAAGCATCCAATCTTTGTTCTTTTTTGCCAAGTCTTCATTTTTTCCTGGACTCATGCCACAAATAATTTCAGTTTTTACAATTCGTAAACTACATATATTAGCTGGCTGAAAACCTTTAATGACAACATTTTAAATAAGCTAAATATTTCTATTATGCTTTTACCCCTAATGCAAGTTATGAACGGCTCCGAGGCATCCCAACGAAAATCCCCTATTAGTTTTCTGTAGTTACAGTCACCTTTAATAATGATCATATGAGCATGAGTAAGTTGTTCGTATAAATCTGGGCGTACATCGCGCATTCTAATGAAAAAATTGTACAAATATATATTTTCGATAAGATACTGTAGCCGTACCTGTAAAATTCATATGGACTTGTCCAAAAATAATCAGCTTCCGCAATTTCAAATTTACCTTCATTCAAGTTTTGGAGCCATATTCTGGCATATTCTTGTGTGCAACGCCCAGCCTGTTTTTTTAATTGTTGAAGAGTCCAATGGAAATCTGTGATCGTTGCATCCGTTACAAACCAAGGAACTGCTTTCATGTGAAAACGGACTTTGTCTACCAGTTTCGATTCCAGCAAATAATGAGCCAGTATGAAGTCTACGACCAATTCGTAACCAGCGTTGTCGCAAATGAAATCTACTTGTACGGGTTTAGTATGATCCGCCGATTTAAAAGAATTGATAACCGATGTCGTACTATCAATTATTATATTCTTCTCATAAGCTCGTAAATGCTCAAATGGTCCTTTTCGTTTTACGTTGTATTTTTCGGTGTCAGCAGATATATCACATTGGTTACCCCAAAGATTAAGCTGCAAAAATGTTGGGTTAATCGTCCGATGATAATAAATAACGGTTATGTTGGCAGAATTTAAGATCTAGATTATATCGAACGAGTTATACTTAAAACCAATAGGATTTTAATAAATAAATGTAAACTACAATAATATATACTTATATGTTACTTTCATATACATACATATACTATAAATTTCTATAATGAGAGATGAAGGTATTTTAGAAGGAGGGAAATTGGTCCTCCAAAAAATATAAAAATAATTTTGTATACATATATGTATTATATATATATATAGTTACGTACCCTTAAAAGGAACCGTAATACATCATCAGAGGTCTGCACGGTACGTATTCCAAACAGTATAATTTCTATTGTCGATAAAAATGCTATTAGAGATTTATGTTTTTTCATAACGTAGTAGTCGAATGCTTTTAAAGTTTTTGTGTTTTCTAAATAGCATATCAAACGGCGAAAAACATAACATTCGGCATAAAGAAAGCATGTACTGAAAAAAGTGTTTTGCCCTTCCTCAAGATTTAACAGGAAGTTGTTCCAAAAGTCTTTATCTGGCTCTATATTTGGAAGTTGACCAAACTAATTAATGTTATCACTTTATAAAGATTTATTTAATATATACCAGCTCCAGAAAATTGATGAAAGGGTCCATCATGCTCCAATCGGTATTTTAATTGACTTATTCTATAAATTACCTTTGCAAAGTCCCCTCGAGATTCCTGAGTTTTACAATTGTAAAGATTTTAAGAAACTTAAATATTTTAAGATTATACTTGAGTTCTGTCAGTATGCCTTTTCGTACCTCGCCATTTTGTGACACTAAAATATCCAAATTCTCTGACAATTGAAGGATTATTTCTGCTAAATTATGTGGAAGTCTATAGCGCAAGACGAAGTAGGCAAAACTTCTAAAAATAGTTAAAGTTCAAACTTTACTGGCATCGTAATTATTATTATTCTCATGTGTGTATGTATATCGAGCTTAACTGCTTGTATCGGGCTGAAATTAGCGAATGCCTTGGAGTTCTTGAATTTAATATACCATATTTAATATCGAATTCGTAGTTTGCACTGGACATTTTGAAATCTTCAGATTGTTTTTTAATTGCCGAAAATTTTTCCACGACGGACATAGGATCGTTGTTCTTTTGTAATTTGTATTAATTTATTTTTTATTAATATTTTTATGCTGCTGCATTATTCAATTTTAATAATCAAGTATGAGTCTGTTGCTTTTTATAATTGCTTTTAAACGATTTGTGTTTAATAATGTAAAATTTAAAGTAAGGTAGAATTAATTGTTGTGCTGCCAAACTTTTGTGTAAAATTTTGACTTTTTCAAATTCTTCAAAACTTTTGCTATAAGATGCAAGATCTTTTCAATACAGTTGAGGAAGAGAGTAAAATTTATTGTATTTCTGTATACATCTTTGAAGTTTTTTAATTATTTTTTCACCCAACCATAAATTATAGATATAATTATGTATATACATATTATTTTAAAAATGTCAAACATGACATAGAAATTAGTTAAACTGATAACTTCTTATTACGTATCTTTTAAATATTTGATTTTGTTTGCATATTGTATAGTGCCATATTCACCAGTTATCATCCAGTCCTTACTTTCCTTTTCTAAAATATCGGATTGCCCTTCTAAAAGTCCACAAATCACATCAGCTTTAACCGTACGTAAACTGCAAATATTTGTCGGCAGAAAACCTGCAGAATAGATAGAAATTTAAAGAGTTGTAACTTTTTTATTTGTTATTTAAATTTTCACCTCTCAGACATGTTTCAAACGATTCTGTGAAATCCCAGGAGAAGTCGCTGATAAGTTTCCGGTAGTTAAGATCGCCTTTGAAAATTACTAAATGTGATATAGACAGCCTTTTATATAAATCTGGATCGATTTCAGACATCCTATGGTGGGTGGGTAAGCAAAATAAATATACACGTACGTTTAGCACCAATGAAAATAATGATTTTCACCTATAATATTCATAGGGACTTGTCCAGAAATTGTTAATATTAGCCACTTCGAATTTATTTTCTACAACAAACTTTTGCCATTTTTTTCCATACTCTCGTAAAACAGACGTAGCATGATCCTTCATAAATTGTAAACTCCAACGAAAGTCATTGATTGTTGCATCTGATATAAACCAAGGTATAGCTTTTAAGTTAAATCGAACTTTGTCAGCTAATTTACTTTCGATTAAATAGTCGGCGAGTATGAAATCAGTAAAAAGTTCATAACCAGCATTATCACAAATAAATTCAATAACTATGTCATTTCGCCGGTCTGCTGATTTCAAGATCTCAATAACTTGGGAGCTTTCATCAATAATGACTCTTTTATCCAAGTTTTTAACAAGTTCGAAAGGATTTCCATTAAGTTTTACTTCTTTGCCCGAAGATATGGACAAATCACAGCGGTTTCCCCATAAATTGAGCTGAAATGTTATTATTAAATAAATTAAAAACTGATATATATATTAATGTTATATGTGTTAGACCTTCAATAAAATTTGTAAATTATCATCGGATATGTAGGATTTCATGCTTTCAAGACCATAAATAATTTCAAGCATCGGTTCTACGCTAATTACAAAGGCATTTTGCTTGTTTTTTGAAAAATAGTCGTATGCCTTAAGTACTTTATGATTTTCAAAGAAGTAATATAAACGTCGGTATACATAGCATTCAGAATATAGCCAACATGCTTTAAAAAACGTGTTTGAGTCATCGTCCAGGTCGTTAAGAAAACTATTCCAAAGCCTCTTGTCACCATCTATTAATTGATAAATATCAAAATGTTAACACTAAATAATATAAATAATTTTACCGATTCCCTCAAATATTTCCATAATGTGATCGTTTTCCAGTTCACATTTTAATTGTAAAATCTTGTCTACAATAGTAAGGATATCCTTTCGCATTACCTGAAAGTCAAAAGAGATTAAAAAACTACATAAATTTTAATATTCTACAGATTTTTGAATTAAGTCTAATTTACTTTGAAATAAGGTCATTTACTTTGAAATGCTAACATACGAAATGTATGTAGTTATGTGAAATATTAATTTTTTAGAATGTGAAATGATAAAATTAATTTGAGCTATTTAGATAAACATTAAGTAAATTGTGTTCAACTGACACTGAAATACGACACTTTCTTTTTAAGGAAAATATTTTAAAATATACATATATATATCCCATTAATAGTATTATTATTACTTTTTAACACGATGGAAAATTATAATTTCTCGCTTTTATATTTTCGTCTAATCTACTTTATCTAAGATATGTGGTAAAAGTTCAAAGTTCAATCAATATTTTATTTATGATATTTTCTACTAATCCTCTGATACCAACCTCTCCAAATTCAGCGATTATGTTATCACAGTTATTTGTTATGTCTCCAATAGTATTTTGTAGTATTTGCGGCAGTCGGATTTTCATTGTTTTATAGGCAAAACTTCTGTTTTTATAATAAATGAGTATTAATATTTGTATTTTTAAATTTTGTCATACTGTACTGTTTATAACGAGCCGAAAGAAAATTGTGCCTTGGAGTTTTAATATCCATGATGTATGATGGGTCCGGTTTACATAAAACTTCACTTGCCATTATCCTGTTATTGGAATTATAATCTAGATGAAAACTTTCAGTTAATACGATTAATTCGTGATGCAATATTTTTCCTCTATCTCAAGGTGCCTCTTTCTATTAGGGAAAATTAGACATGCAAGAGATCAATGTTTAGAATATACTTAAGTACATAAATATATGCATATATGCAGATTTCATTGAATGCTTTATTGCGTATAAATACAATGTTACAATAATGCATTTGCTTTAATTGTTATTACCTTCTTTAAGAAAAAAATTCAATAGTTTCTTAGATCTTATAGTTAATAGTATGGTGAAATACCCACATTATTTTCTAAATTTAGTATGGTAGGATGTACTCAAACAAAAACAGCTGATAGTACTTGAACACTTTTAAAGTTTTTTCCACTAAACCTGGAAAGAATAACTGTCAGCTGTTAACCAAACTTTTAGCAAACTCTTACATTCTTTTCTAAACTCAATATTAAATTCTTGACCGATGATGAAGAATAGAAAAACCGAATGTGTCCGGAGAATCAGAAGGCATTTTTCATATCGTCGTATTTGCAAATGGAATTTTTATTTTTCTCTTAAGTCTCTATGAAGGAAGAAGTTTACTTACTTCAAGGCAAAAGAAATCAAACAAAAATTTTGCATAGTAAAATGTAACAATAACAAATAATTTTATTAATAAAAAAAATTTATCTCAATGCATTGCTGAGTAAAGTCTAATTTTAGAATAAATAAATTTATTTCACTACTTATCTTGTCCTGAAATAATAGCATGGAGATTCCTAAAAGTTTTTCTCAAAGAGATATCTCCTGGAAATTACTCCATACTTAAAGAACTTGTTATGGCTGCCTTGTCATAAATGGTTTGTTTACTTATAAATTGTATAGTGCCATACTCTCCCGTCGTCATCCAGTTTTGATCAATTTCAAATACCTTTTCAGCTTGTCCTTCTAATAGGCCACAAATCAAATCCGCTTTTACGGTTCTTAAGCTTACAAAATCCGTTGGCAGAAAGCCTATATGACAAATAGCAATTAAGTGATGGTCAGTAAAAGGTTATCAACTTAATTTACCTCTTAAACATGTTACAAACTGTTCAGTATAGCTCCATGAAAAATCCCCAATTAGTTTTCTGTAGTTAAGATCTCCCTTAAAGATAACCAGACGGGATTCCGATAATTTCTGATATAATTCAGGGTTAATGTTGCACATTCTAAAATAATAAAGTGCTTTTGATTAGTGAACCTCAATTAAGCATATCTTCGCATTATTACCTATAGAATTCATAAGGGCTTGTCCAAAAATAATCCAATGGAGCGATTTCAAATTTTTTATCGTTCAGAAGTTCTTGCCATCTTTTCCCGTATTCTTTTAAAATAGGTAGTGAGTGATTTTGAAGATAGTACAATGTCCAATTTAAATCGGTTATTGTAGCATCGGAAACGAACCAAGGAATAGCTTTTAAATTAAATCGAATTTTTTCCACTAATTTACTTTTTATCAAATAATCAGCAAGGACAAAATCAGTGAAAAGTTCATATCCAGCATTGTCACAAACGAATTCCACAACAGCTAGTTTATTACTATTTGCGGACTTTAGACATTCAAAAACTGACTCCGAGTTATCGATGAGAATTTTATTGTCAAAGCTTTGTATAAGATCAAAAGCGTTGTTACCAAGTTGAACCTGCTTTCCAGATGTAATAGATAGATCACAGCGATTTCCCCACAAGTTAAGCTGTTTTATAAATAAATATCATTTATTTTTATTAATAAAGAAAAAAATTACCTTAAGCATCAGTCGAAATGAATCATAAGTGATTTCAATACCTTGAAGAACATTCAGAATTTCCTCAATGCATACAACAGAATTCATGAGAGCATTTTGTTTTTGCTTAGCAAAATAGTCAAAACTGGTTAAAGTTTTAGAGTTTTCGAAAAATGATGATAATCGGCGATACATATAACACTCAGCGTAAAGCCAGCAAGCTTTGAAAAAACTATTATTTTCTTCGTCCATATTTTGTATAAAGTTGTTCCAAATTTCTATATCAGGTTCTAAATAAAGCAATAACATATTTGAATATTGACTATTTTGATCTATAAATGCTTACGTACCGTTACCCACAAAAGGCTCAAGAGCTTTATCAGTTTGAAGTTGATACTTTAATTTTGATATGGAACCAATAATATTTTTAATTTCTTCCCTCGAATCCTATAAATGTATCATATATCAAATACACATAAATAAACATCTGTATATGTATGTACAAAAAATGCATATTTTTCCACAAATTACTTTCAATAAATAATACATATATCGAAACTTTTACGAATAATAACATTTTTAAATGTTTCTAACTACTCACTAACCTCACCGTACTTTGATATCAGCTCATCCTTATCTTTTGTTATACTGTCAATTATACTTGTAAGTGTTACTGGTAGTCGCGAGCGCAAAGTATAATAAGCGAAACTCCTGCAAAAGATATTTTTTATTTATACTTATGTGTATTTAATCATTCAGTTCATTAATTTACTGTTTATAGCGGCCACACATTGGAGAGCGCGGAGGGGTATTTAAATTTAAAATACCATATTTGGCATCAAATTCTGTCGAAGGCGCCTTGGAATTAGAAGTGGACATGCTCCACGGTATCGAATTTTTTATTTGTAAGATATACGAGGAATGAATTGTACTTTTGATATAGTATAATATTCGACTAAAAATATGAAAAATACAAACATTTTTTTAAATGTAAACACCATACTTTTTTAAACTAACCTTAAATGTTGATTTAAATCGCAGCAATTCTTTTATGATATTTATAGTTTTTGACAGATTTTATTTGATATTGGATCATCTGGTTTCCACTATACGTAAACAATAACCATATGGGTGAGGTGCAACTAATAATACCGTATTAAAAAAAATTGGAAAAGTTTTATTTTAAAACAGAATTGATTAAAAACTTTTTAAATAAATAAATATGCGGGCGTTCATAACAAACTGTTCTATCTGTTGGTTAATAATTTGTTCAATATTTCTGTAACGCTGATAATTTGCTTATGTTAGTTCCAAAATATATTCATTAGCCAACACGTGAAACAATATTAAAACATTGAACATACATATATCTTTAAAAATCCACCATGGTTGTACTACTATTACACCACGATGGAAATAATTGTCAAATTCGCAAAACTACAATTTCTTTTAGTTGTGTGAATTTTCGCACTTTTTTATTCCAAAATAATTGTGCAATTATACTTGATTTTATTGGATAGATCGTTATGCACATAAAATGAAAAACTAATTTGATTCAACAAAAAATTTAAATTTGCACGGTACAGTGAGCTCTGGAGTTTTGTGAAAAATCTATAACATATTGGTGTTTTGTCGGCTGGAGTTTCGGAGGGCGGATATTATTTAATAATGTGGTATTTATAAAAAATATATTGTAATTTTACATATGCCCTCCAAAATGTCAGGGATACACATTAACAAAAAACCCTTTAGGTTTTCAGATTTTTCTGATCACAGAATATACACAAATACATATGTATAAGTATGCATTTTATAATTTTAAGCAAATTGCATGTATATACATATGTATACATGTGTATACATTTACTTATATTGCATTACAAATTACTACCGTTAGAAGAAATAAGCAATGGCTCAACTTAGCATTCGGAGAATTCCATGACCGGATGTACTGAATCGTTTCATAATATAACATATGTCGTCATTGTGGGAAGTTAACTAGTACATATGTAAATATAAGGCCGAGTCATATTAAGTTAACGATCACAATAGACCTAAGGTCGCAGTGCATTCCTCAATTATTTATCTATCTATCTATCTATCTAAGTTAACGATGTTATGCTCAGTGCAGTTTACTAAAATCCGACGTATTTTTTTCATGTATCTATAATGTGTTTATTCGGTTTGAGAATTGTAGTTTTGTATTCTACCATAAGGAAACGCAGTAATGTACTGTAAGAGACCCAGCATAAAAGACATAATCACAGATTTACTATTGGAATCTCTATAATTGCATTCAAATTATTTTCATGGCGGCCAGGAATACAAAACTGTCTATTCGAGAGCATGCGCAAAATTATTTTTCAGATGCTTTCCACAGCTACACAAACAATCTATTTAAATAAATATTTTTTATTTATTTCTTAAACAACTGTTATACAGCCAGCGTCAAACACTTATTTATTACATTGCTTGTTTTATTTCAGTTATTGCTAAGTGATAACATTTTTTAAAATGGTATTTAATACTCTTCAAATTGATGAAAAAAACAAAAACAAAATTCTTACAACAACAAAAGTTATGAAAACCTAAAATAGGTCATACTTTTGGCGTCAAAAGAAAGTATACAAAATAACATATTTTTCGTACTTTGTATGCCTTCCATTTACCCTAATTATGACTTGCATACGTCGCGACATTGAATTAATAAGATTTTCTGTTACTTCCGGTAATAGAAAATCTTCTTGTCATTTTTCTGTAATGAAATATTTGAGCATGTCTTTCCTTGAGAACTCTCCTTTGCGCGATAGAGAATGACGTTAAAAATGTTCTCTCCAAATTGGAACTATCTTCAAAACTCTTCGTTTTAAAAATGAAGATATCCTACAGATTTAATAATCGGCCGCAATTTGTCGTACACTACCTTTTTTTTACGTGTCATCTCAACAATTATACACCCAATAAATAAAAATAAAAAATGTTTTGTATTCGTCATAAATGTATTTTGGTAATCTAAATATTAAACAAAAAATCGCGAAAATCAGTGATTGCTCGAAGGTGCACACTGAGACGATTGCTGAAATACCATTTAAAAAATATAAATTGTTACATTATATTACTTAGCAAAAACTTAAAGTAAGCAATGTAATAAACAAGTGTTGAACACTTTCCTTTCATGCTGACTGTACATATGTACATATCTTCGCACATTTCAGTTCTWTATGCATAAATATAATTGTAAATATATAATATGTCCCTAATATATTCGGTATATAGTTTACTAAGTACAAAACCAGTATATTGTCATCTAAGATGCTGAACGACGTAACACCAATTCGAAATTGTGTTTTTGTTTTTATTTATTATGATTCGCTACATCATATTATATATGTACATACATACATATAAATACGACATTTTAAACTTCTGCCGTTAAATATAACATGTGGTATTTCACCCATTTTTTACTCTAAACTAAGTACATATGTACATACATATTAGGTTGTCAAAAAAGTCTTGCTGTATTTTCGCTAGTTGGCGCTGAGAGCGCATAGTTCTAGTTTTATTCGTCGCATCGGGTCATGCTATACCTTTTTGGAAAGCTCATTTCATGCGCTAACACGTGTTTGATTGATTGTTGTTTCTTTTAAGTCGTGAGTTATAGCGTCGCAAACATGGAGCAAAATAAATAGAAAATACGTCATATTTTACAGTACTACTACGATAAAGGCAAAATTTCATCTCAAGCCGCAAATAAAATTTGTGCAGTTTATGGACCCGATACAGTTTCCATTTCCACCGCACAGCGATGGTTTCAACGTTTTCGTTCTGGTGTAGAGGTGGTCGAAGATGCGCCACACTCCGTAAGGCCTGTCGTCGAAAATTTATGAACAATTGAAAATTGAAAAATTGAAAAAAATACCGCAAGACTTTTTTGACAAACTATTTTATATACTATATAAAAAAAAAAGCGTCATCTGAATTTCTTTATATTGACCAATATATTGTACGTTATAAAATCAACAAGAAATACCCCGATGTTAACCATTTTTGAAAAAACGGCACATAATTATCAGAGAAAGTCTCCTCGAATTTCATTTATGTATTCCACAGAGTGGCCGATATTTTCGGTAAAAAGGATAGTGACACACCCCTTGTCAATTTTCAGAGGTTTCAATATGAAGGTTTTCCGTGCCGTTTTACTGACGTAGTTCTTAATGAGTTAGTGCATTTTGTGCACAAGCAACTGTTTGGTGAAAAAGCTATAGTACTCCGAAAAAAGTTGTATATCAATCAGCCAGAAGGTATACGAATTTACTTGGACTCTAAACTTGGAAACATTTCGAATTAAACAACAAATCCTATTTTTAAAAAATACAGTATGTACATATATTCAATTTGGTATACATTAACTTGCGAATACTTCCAAACCTTCAATAGTTGTACTTAGGTTTTGTTATAGTTTATATTATAGACGGCTTTCATTTTATTTCAGATGCCTTAGCCGCCGAAAAGCAAAAAAATTGGCAGAACTGAATAAATAAAGTTTTATTAAGAAATGGCAATGTCAAAAGTCATGCGGGTGCTGGAAAAATCTATTCCACCATCACCTTATAGCGTTCTTTTAGAGCATCGAAATAAAAGTGATAGCATTCTTTTTGAATCTCATGCGGTCGCTTTGCTTTCCACTCAGGAAACTGATGTAATACGAAAGCAGTATACAAAATTGTGTGATGCTTACGGTTGTCTTGGTGTGCTGCAACTAAATGCTGGAGAAAGTACTGTTTTGTTTCTGGTGCTTGTCACTGGCTGTGTCTCAATGGGAAAAATCTGTGATGTTGAAATTTTTCGAATTACGCAGACACAATTCGTGGCTTTGCAAAATGCAGCTCCGAATGAAGACAAGATATCGGAGTGTCGCAAGCTGTTGAACTCGGGAACTTTTTACTTTGCACATTCGAATCCTTCGATGAGCAGTAGTTTACAAAAGTTTGATATAACATTATGTGCTCAACGGAGGCAAAAAATATCTGAGACTGACAATCGTTTCTTTTGGAATCGAATGATGCACATACATATGCTCCGTTTCGGTGTAGATTGTCAATCATGGCTTCTGAAGGCAATGTGTGGTTCTGTGGAAGTTCGCACGGTGTATGTTGGAGCTAAGCAGGCACGCGCCGCTATCATATCTCGGTTAAGTTGCGAGCGTGCCGGTACACGATTTAATGTTCGAGGTATGTAATGAATGTTTTGTATGCCGAATCTAAAACAGAATTTTCTAATAAGACTGATATGATTTCTTTTCAAAAAGAAACACATTGATTGTTAGTGTAATCAATGACTTAAAATAACCCTACCAGAAGTAGTCTAAAWCTTCTTTGAGGCCATTCAATGCAACAATTTCTTGAAATAAACGAATCTCCACACTTTTCTCGCAATAATTCGGTTGATGCACGTGCTGTGTGGCATTGGGCCAAGTTTTGTTGGAACCAGATGTTGTCAAGATCAACTTCTTCCAATTAGAGCTATAAAAAGTTGATTATCATCGATCTTTACAGCTCTCCATTGTCAGAAACGGTGTCACCAGCTTTATTTCGAAAGAAGGACGTACGGGTACCGATGATTTTACCGGGCCAAAAATCACACCAACGTGCCAATTTAGGTGAATGTAATGGTTGTTTAAGAATAATTTGTGGATTTTCTTTGCATCAGAATCGACAGTTTTGCTTATTAATTCGACAAAAAGCGACAATTCGAAAATTGGAGAACGTTTATTTGAATAATATATAAACGTTTCTTCTTGCGTATCTCTTTCTACGATGAAATTGTAAACATTACCGATTACAATGAAAAAATATTTACAGATCATATTAAAAATGACCGAAAGAAAACTTTGAAATCATATCATCCTTATTGGAAAAGCCGGTATAATAAAGTTTAGCCCTTATATATATGAAATTTAGTGCTTTTAGTGAAAATGTCTTTAATTTACATATTTTTTTTTTTAATTTCAGAAACTTATTTAAATTAAACAGTATTTTAGAAATATTTTCACCAACATTAAAATTTAATATATTTTTAACAAAATGTTTGATCTGTTTTGCTATTTGCTATTATATTGTCATGGTTATACCTCTTTTTAAGGCACCAATGATGAGGGACATGTTGCTAACTTTGTTGAGACCGAGCAGGTTATATATGTGGATAGTGATGTGACTAGTTATATTCAAACACGTGGATCGGTCCCTCTTTTTTGGGAGCAACCAGGTGTACAAGTTGGCTCACACAAAGTGAAATTATCACGAGGGTTTGAAGCTTCTGCAGCAGCATTTGATCGACATATGATGATGATGAAACAACGGTACGGATATCAGGCGATTATAAACCTTTTGGGTACTTCGATGATTGGTAGTAAGGAAGGTGAGGCAATGTTAAGCAATGAATTCCAAAAACACCATAATATGTCCACCCACAAAGATGTTTCACATATTATATTTGATTATCATCAAGAGTGTCGAGGTGGTAATTTTGGTGCGCTTTTGAAACTGAAAGAGCGCTTAGGAGTTTGCGGTGTAAACTATGGATTTTTCCATGCTTCCCAAGGGCAAGCATTACGTGAACAATTTGGTGTTATTCGCACTAATTGCCTCGATTGTTTGGACCGCACCAATTGCGTTCAAACGTTCTTGGGCTTAGACATGCTCAATCAACAAATTGAAGCTTTAAAGCTGGGAGAGAAAAAACAAAATTTTTCCAGATTTGAAGAAATATTTCGGCAAATGTGGGTAAATAACGGTAATGAAGTTAGTAAAATCTATGCCGGTACTGGAGCTATACAAGGTGGCTCCAAACTAATGGATGGAGCACGATCAGCCGCTCGTACTATACAGAATAATTTGTTAGATAATTCAAAACAGGAAGCAATTGATATTTTATTACTTGGATCAACACTATCGTCAGAATTAGCTGATCGAGCTCGAATATTATTGCCATCGAATATGCTGCATGCACCAACTACAGTTTTGAGGGAAATGTGCAAGCGCTTTGCTGAGTATGTAGCTCCGAGTACCTGTCGCGTCGCAGTTGGTACCTACAATGTAAACGGTGGTAAACATTTTAGAAGTATTGTTTTTAAAGACTCTTTGTCTGATTGGTTACTTGATTGCCACGCATTAGCACGAGCTAAGGCGCTAGTGAACGTGAACAATCCATCGGAGAACGCCTGCGATCCCGTTGATATATATGCGATTGGTTTTCAAGAGATCGTGGATTTGAATGCCTCTAACATTGTTGCTGCCAGCACAGACAATGCCAAATTATGGGCAGAGGAATTGCAAAAAACTATTTCCCGAGATAATGATTATGTGCTTCTCACATATCAACAATTAGTAGGCGTGTGTTTATATATATATGTTCGACCTGAGCATGCGCCATTTATTCGTGATGTAGCCATTGATTGCGTTAAAACGGGACTAGGGGGCACCACTGGAAATAAGGGAGCATGTGCGATTCGCTTTGTTTTTCATGGAAGTTCGATGTGCTTCGTCTGTGCTCATTTTGCTGCTGGTCAATCACAGGTAATAGATAATACAATAGATACTTAGTTCTTTACATTAATATTTAGTTAACGGTTGTTTTTATAAAAGTTATAATGCTATAACTCAAAAGCTCCTATTTATTTGATTGACTTTTGAGCTTGGGTTAGACGCAGTTGTATCTATTTGGAAAAGGTTATTTACCATACCCAAATACATATGTAGCTGTATATAAATGTATGTACATATAATAGACAGTTGTATGGAAATTCGTTTTAATTAACTACCAATGAGATCTATTCTCTTCAGATCTGAAGAATTAGGTTTATTATGCTTCCAATGCACAAGTTTGATCAGTTCGTTGTTGGTTGTAATCGATTGTCTGCCCTCGCAGTACTCATTTAACTTATAGTTTTCTTCATCTTTATAGCGTCAGCTATCTCGAAGAACTTTATTTTATGATTATACAAAATCTTAAATTAATATTAAATTTTGCACCCTACATTATACAAAAGCGTTTCATAAGAGTCGTCTTCCCATACATAAAAGTATAAATTCCATATGAGTTTTCAAAACGTTTCCACATACGTTTTTTTTTAATTAATTATAGGTTGCTGAGCGTAACGCAGATTATGCTGAAATAACCAGAAAGTTAGCGTTTCCAATGGGACGTACACTAAAGTCGCATGATTGGGTATTTTGGTGTGGAGATTTTAACTATCGAATCGACATGGAAAAGGATGATTTGAAAGAAGCTATACAGAACGAAGATCTTACATCTGTCCTGCTAAATGATCAGCTTCGTAAGGAGCAAGAAGCAGGCAATGTCTTCGGCGATTTTCTTGAAGGAGAAATCAATTTCGATCCTACGTACAAATATGATTTGTTTAGTGATGAATATGATACGTCAGAAAAACAACGTGCACCTGCTTGGACTGATCGTGTTTTATGGCGTCGACGCAAAGCTTTAGCGGCAGAAACAGATGTTAATAGTGTCRAATGGAATCCAGGAAGACTTATTCATTATGGTCGTTCAGAGTTGAAGCAAAGTGACCATCGCCCAGTTATTGCCATTATTGATGCAGAAATTGTGGAAATTGATTCACAGCGTCGACGCGAGGTTAGGAGAAACATAAATATTTTTTGTTTCCTTATTGCATAAATTTTGGTTTTATCCTTTAATGTTCTTAGGTTTTTGAACAGGTCATAAGAGACTTGGGTCCACCTGATTCTACCATTGTTGTGCACGTAAAAGAGGATGTCGTTTGTGACGACGGGCCGACTATCTATGATGAAGCAGTCATGTCTACCCTTATTCAGGAATTGTCGAAGTTGGGTGAAGTAACTTTGGTTCGATATGTAGAGGACACAATGTGGGTAACATTTCGAGATGGTGAATCAGCATTACATGCGAGTAATAAAAAATATATTCATATTTGTGGTTTGGAGTTACAACTTCAACTAAAGACTGCAAATTGGCAACCATTAGTTGACAATGAAATTGCGTTGTGCACAACCAACACTATACCCTTGTGCTCGAATCCTCAAGAACAAGCACAGTTATTCAGTAGTTCACCTGACATTCCGAGGCGTCCGAAACAGCCTCCTGGGCGACCAGCACCAGCTCGCCCACCTATGCCACTGTCCCCTAAAAGTTCGCCTCGTCATCATCCAAACGTTGGAGTTATTAGTGTCGTCCCCGAAATGCTGCAATCTAAACTCTCTAAACCTCTAATGACACCACCCTTACAGCCCTTACCAATTTCGCCTCAAAAAAATCAAAAGAACACTAAAACGTCTAGCAATGAAAGTATTTCGTCTTCTAAATCACATTCACCTACTGAAACTCAACAATGTTCTCCATTACATTCGTCATCTGCAGTTTCACCAGTTGAGTTGCTCGATGAACAATTCCCCCCAACTCCTCCAAGGCAAAGCAAAAATTCTACACCAGTATCCACACCAATACGTCAACCGAAACAAGAAGGTACTTCAACTTTTTATGATGGTAGTGCTAACATATATGAAGAAATACAAGAAGAAATGCCAGCGCCTAGACATCCACCACCTCCATTTCCATCAATTGCAAACCAAGAAATTGCTCCCATTGCTTCTGTTGAAAGCCCTCGCAGACAAGTAGTAGTAACAAATCCGACAAAAATAGGCCCTCCTCCACCTTTGCCGGCGCGGCGCGGACCTCCACCTATACCCAATCGCAGTGGAAATGCACCACCACTTCCTACTCGACCAGGCAATAACAATTGAAGTAAGTACTAAAAATATATACTTTTCACTTATTTTTACATAATTATATTTTATATTCGTAGTTATAGCTTCATAATACCTGCGTTTGCATTCTTTGAAGAATAAATCTTGCATAATGTGCTTTGATGGCAAAATAACCATTTTCTAACTGGTTCTAGTTTTTATAATGTTTCACTCAAAATGTGAAGTATCCATAAGTGTGTATGCTTTTCTATGAGATTTGAGTAACTGTGAGCTAAAAATCAAAGTAATATTATTTTCGTCACATTGTTCGGCTTTGTACCGTTATGTAAATAACGTTAAGTTGAATAYTGAGTATGACGCTACCAAAAATTTGTGATTTCTTTTAGTTACGGATATCGAAACACTTGTAATCCCTACAAATTTCGAGGGTATCTAATGTTCACCCGAACAATGTGACCTGCCATGAGAAACAATCTACTCACTTTTTTATGTTTTAATGCAGTTATTTTTTTGTAATTAACCTAATATTGATTTAAATAAATTTCCATAACTGGATAATTAACCTGGGGACGAAACCGTTTCCATCGATATTCCATTTTCGTTGTCTTAGCCCATATATTATATATTTATATACTAACCTACATTTAAACATTTAAATTCATTTTTAAAAACGAAGTTATTAAAACCTTTATATTACTATTTATATATTTGTCAGGTGCTAATTTCAACATCGCGCGCTTTCCCGTGTTATTATATTGATTGTAACGAATTTGGTGTAACAATACTTACTTTAGGGCATTAATGGATTTATTTCTGCAACATGAAAATAGTAATAAAAAAGTGTTATATCTTCAACAGCATTGCTATGAAAAATTATATAATATAAAAGAATTTTTATGCCAAATAAATAGAAATATAAAGAAAAAATAAAAAAGTTTTTCATACGTACTTATTTCCCTATTGCATTAGTCAAACTTCACAATTATTTGCTTTTCTGTTGTTATAGCGTATTTTAGCTATCTACGTATGTAGTATAAAGTTTTAAACACATTATTATTTTGCAAGTGGTGTTGTTGGAGCGACTAAATTGAATGTAAAACCATAATTATTATGATAATTATATCTAAGTTATTAAATTTATTAGTTCTATATTTTCATAATTCATCTTTATTAGAAATAGACTGCAATACAAAAGCTGACATTTCGTAATAAAATTAAATTTATCAGCTAAACCTTTAAAAGAGTATAATATTCGCTATCCAAAAATGTAGCCTGTAGCCACTTAAGCTAAAACTAGTCAAAAAAGCTCAATAACAATTTTTAAAAAGGTATTAATAATTAAAAATTCAGTTAAATGAAACAAACTTAGATACATTTATATTAAGTTTGCTTAATTGTTAAAGAAAATAAAATTCAATTCAATTAAGTTAAACCAAATAACAAAGTTAAATAACATAAACAAATGTGTTTATATTAATATTGTTGAAAATATTTTATAGTATAAATAAATATTAGCAATGTAAACATGCAAGTCAGGAAGTTATTGTTACTGCTAGTAAATTTCGACTACTTATAACATATTAATCTAAGTATGTGAACGTAGAATCCCGAGGCTTAATTTAGTATGATATTTGTGCATTATAATGACATATAAAAAAATTGCTTGTCTTTGGTTAAAATTTATAATTAAATAAGTATAGGCGAAAGCCCGTGCACATTTGAAAATGTTAATTATAATCCCTATAAATGTTACATTGTAAAAACACATACAAATATAAATAAAACTATTATAAATCAATATACTAAAATTGCAATTTACTTTAGTTTGATTATGTTGAGCTAACCCATATATATATATGTATATAGGTCATTCACTTATGTATATAAAATTGTTCTAAAACCAGTCTGGTAGAGGTTCTTGGGGAAGGGTTTTGTAACTTGTGAGTGATGTACAAGGACGTTGTTGTCGCCAAAATTCTTGCCGTTTTATTAAAAATTTAACAGCTTCATTTGCATGATTGGAAATATTTTCCGAGTTTGTATCGCCTCGAACTAAATCCGGGTGTTTCAACAGTTTTTCTAAATATTCCTTGTCAACACATAATTCACCTAACAATTTGCGAGCGTTATGTCGTTCAATTTCGGCTTTGGATAGTTTTGGGCGATTCGAATGCTGTACATTTTTTTGAGATTGTTTATTGCTGTTAGAGTTGGTAGAAATTTTATTATTCGCAGACTTGGGTGCAATGTTGAGCGATGAACATTTACTAGTTCCTATAGTATTCTCAATGGCTTCTTGAGTTTTTTGAACACCCAATCGAAAGGTAGATAATTCGGGACGAGCGCGTAACCCTTGGTGGAAGAACATTAGACTCTGTTCGAATTGACCAAGAAAATAGAGGGATTCTGCTTTTTGGAAAATGGCTCGAATATTATTTTTGTCTTCAGTGAGTGCAGTTTCCGCATCCTGTAATGCTTTTGATGGCTCTCCTAGCAAAAGGTAACATTTACTTCGAGAAACCAACGCATTTATGTCAGTTCCATTTAGTTCGAGAGCCTGAAAATGTAAATAAAGGATACGTTTAATATACAATTTCATTATAAATTGTATGAGTAATTTTAAGACTAGTTCCAATTGTTCGAACCTGTGAAAAGAAATATACGGCGTTTTCTGGATTGGCGTTTTTAATTTCTTTCAACCCCAATGCTATAATGGAATTAATGTCTGCCTCATCCGGTATTTGCATGATTTCATTACGATCTTGTTTATGTTTTATTTGCAGGCTTTGTTTAATGTCGTAAGTGCCGGCGCTTACAGCTGCTGCTCTATCTTTATCAGTATAGAAGTCTACAAAATTTTCTTTTGGCTTTTTTTTAAACAATTGATCCTCGGTTTTTCTTCGCGCTGCACGTAATTCTGCTTCAATACGGTTTCCGCGACCTCCAACTCCACTTTTTTCTACATCGTCAGCAAATTTTACAGTCTTACGATTGCTATTTAAATTTCGGACACCTTTGATAGCATTAGACAAGCTTTTCCCATTATAAGAATGTCTTGAACGTGGCGAAGAATAGTACCGGGCTTGATTTAGTTTGCGTGTGGATTCATCTATTGACTCTTCGTCTGCAGTTATTCCGATTCTTATAAAACTTTGAAGTAATTCCTGTTCCTTATCAACATCTAAAATGTTTTTCAAAACACTTGACATATTGGCGGAAAGAAGTTTGATCCAAAAAATATGCTTATGAATATGCTAGAACCGAATTTTCTTTCCTTCAATGATTAATGCTATTTAATATATTATACAACCCTAATGTGAAATATGCGTTGCTAAGTGAAATTAATGTTTGTGTTGCTTGGGAACATGTGATAATCGATAGCTAATCTACCAGATTTGGGAAATTCTATATTGTCCACTTTCGGCTAAATTTTTTAATGTTTTATCGTCTACGAATTTGTGAGTTACATGACGTTGTGTTGCATAATACTTTCATTTTGTAATTTTGTAGTATTATCTGCAATGATCACTGTTTAATCCGTATATATATGTACATATATCCCCAGAGTTACTGTTAGGCAACTTAATTCAAAATTAGGTTTCGTTCAAAGATCAATCCGTGAGACAGATTTTTGTTTTTGAATTCAAAACGTTACTTTTTAAAGATGATGCGACGTACGAAGCTCGAAAAGTAATATAATTAAATAAATGATTTCATAACTTAAGTTAATTTATAATGACGAAATTCCTGAGAACYAGAGGAAAAATTGTTTACAACAAGATTTTTGTTTAATCCAACTTTTTATGTAAAATGTGGTTTTAAATGATCTAAGACCGAATTAATTGTGTTCAGTTAAAATATATGTATACATATGTATGAGCATACTTTGAAAAGAAAATGAGAGAATTTTCTGTCGGAATCCTTTTTATTGCAACTTTAGCGGTATCATTTGATATTTATACTTCTTTACTATATTATACATTCATATCAGCTTAGTTGATAGATAAATAGATAATTGGAACAATTAAGAAACACTAAAAGATCTGAAAACATTCTACCAGCCAAACAACGCGACATTGAACCGAAAGAAGAATTTTTATATATACATATATGTATAGGTAAATGAAAGCATTACCAAGTGAATAGTAACGGTCTACGATCATGTGTTTTAAAAAATTCCTCCCCTTGCCTGTTTTATTTGACATAATCTTTATGTTAAAATTGACATATTTGATCATCTGTATCGAAAATACTTACATTGGAAATTTACATGCGTTAATAGGAAATAAAATAAAATAATAAATTAAGTGGATAATGTTTGGTTAACACCATGAATAAATTTTAATCAATAAACATTGACATTATTTATGTATAAAGCTCTGCTAATGATATAGATATTTAAACGAATATTGGATTCTCTGTTATTTCTATGGTATGATGTGTTCACATAATCTGTTCCGGAGGGTGATATTCCTTTATTCCAGAACTCCAAATTTACTTAAATATTGGGAAGTAATATTTGTATTTTGTAAATATTTAATAAATAAATAAATTTAGCTAAAAATAACTTTAGCTTTATGTGATTTTAACTTTACCGTCCTTTTCATTAAATACCTTATTGTAACCTATTAAAGCTTTATCGTATTCTCGAACTTTCATATGGTTTTGAGACTGATCAGATAACAGTTTAATGCAGGTCTCCAGTTCCTCCAACGGGTCGACTTTATTTCTTCTACGCGGCATAATGCACTATAAAAATGTTAAATATACAAAGTTATATTTATTTTTTATGCCAACCGAATGACTTTACATAGCTATTGCTTCCGAGATACTGACAAGTTGGCGAATATTTGAAGTTAATTGTCTACTTGGTGCTTAATGAAATGTAATCAAATGGGACAAAAAAAAATTTCAAAAAACTTTTTCAAGGAAAACTTCGACTGTGGAAATCAACGCATTCAAAAGTATGTAAATAAGATAGCTTGTAGGAAATGGTCCAAATTTAAAAATATGAATTATGATTTCTTAGGCTTGCTTTTAAGATATAAAACTCCAAATATTTTTCTGAATAAAATATTGAATTGTAATATATATTCTCTATGGAAAATATTATTTTGCGAAAAATTTCCATGTATGTAGATGAAAAAGCGAAAATATAACTTACATAAAAATATTGCAGCAGTAGACCTGAATAAATTTATTATTCTGATTCTAATCTTCAACTTGTAAGCATCAGTGTACAATTACAAGTCTAAGAAATATAATACGAGTATATTTGTCAAACTACCGAGGTAAAATAATTGATTTATTTGCTGATTTGAGCTATCTAAATTGCTTTTTATTTTGTTCTGCAGGGATGGCTTCACCACTGTGTAATATTTACACAAACACGCAAATTCGGAAATGATGACATTCAGAAGTGCACCAATTCATCTAGGTTGCATGCTATGACAAACAGTAATAAAACTTAATAAACAACCATTAAGTATGACTATGTAGTTTTATATTAGCTCGTAAGTTGGAGTAGTTGTTGCTTGTCCGTCTTTCAACCGGTTTCCCCGCTTAATTCTCTTCACTCACAATTTACAAATTGCTTTGATTGCCCTTTACTTAATGTGACAATTTCCTAAAGAACTTAATTGCATGGGGAGGGAGGAAATGTTCCTGTAAGTTTTTGTTTGCAAAAAATAGTTTATGGCACATTTGTATGTAGTGCGTATGCTACACAATATATTTACTAAGAAATATTTCAACTGTTATAATTTATGTTATTTTTTATTATGTACTTAATATATTCGCTTTGATTATAAATCAGCCCATATGATAATTGAATTAAGAATAACGATGTTTATATGATGTCAAACTTGGCAGAGAATGTGATTTTTCAACTCCTTTTGCTGTTGAAAAATATAATTTCGTATGTGAAGAAGTAGTTTTCCTTGCGGTAAATGCAAAAGTATTATTGCATAAACCAAAAATGTAATATAAGTGCCTTTGTTACTTTATTGGGATATTAAAATATTAATTAAGTATATACCTAAAACTACATAATAACCTAATGCTTCTTGGTTTGTTTATCATTGGCATTAATATAGTTTACCACAATTTTAAGTATCTTCAATTGTAATTTATATTGGGTGTTTTAAAGTTACCAAATTTTTCGGCTTTGCTAAACATATGGGCAGAATTTTACAATAGTTTTAGCGGATTTTGGCTTACATTTTGTTGATATTATTGTTCCTAGACATCAGTGTATGCTTCCCACTCAATTTCTAGTATTATATCCGGATATTTTGACCCACTAAGTCCATGATCCAGCTTTTTAGTCCTATTTAGATGGAATTCGATGTTTTCGAATACGGTTTTCAAAAAAGTTACAGATATTTTGAATAGGATTAATGTCTAGAGCTTTCGAGACCTATAAAGCTATTTTTACTTCCATAAAAACCATTCACGTACAGGATAAGAAGTGTGTATTGGGTCGTTATCCTGTTGTAAATAGAAGTGGCCACTATGAATGCACGTCTAGACACAATCCGCATCAAAGCGAGGTTCTTCAACATAACGCTGATTAGCGCTCACGGACCGACGGAAGAGAAGGACGATGTGACCAAAGATGCCTTTTATGAGTGCTTGGAAAGCACTTATGAGAGCTGCCCCCGCCACGATGTCAAAATCGTGCTT